ACTGAGATGTACAGATGATGTAAGGGATAATTGATCGGAATTGTTAATCGGAGATCCGAGTTCTAATTCCCGGTGGATTCATTATATTCACTTACGCGCAAATACCCTTATGAAAGGCGTGAATCCACATCTTCTCCCCCAGTTAAATGGGTTAAATAGTAACACGTGTATAACTAAACTTTATTATGTAAAAAATTCTTACAATATTTTCTGTCTTTAAATAATCAGCAAAGGGTTGATAAGCAGTAAAAACAAAATGAATCAATCAACTTAACTACTTGTTTAATCCCCTTTTCTTTTTATCCTTCTTTACCGTATCTATAGTCCTTCTTTTCTATGGTAAGCTTGGATGTCCTTAGTAAGACTTGTATCAGTTATGCGCTATGTCTGATACACTCTTACGCTGACGAAGCAGATTTTTCCAGCAGCACGTTGCCATTCTTTCTGCGGTAGACAAGATTGCCATCCAAGGCTATAGAACCCGGTCTGTCCTGCTATTGTCCATAGTTTGGAGAAGAGGATTCGTACCTTTCCCAAGCGTATTAGCACGTAGGTGAATCTAATGGATTCGACTGGAATTCGAACTCGGCTCTCCGATTCCTCAATCCGAGCCGCTATCCATTACTCCACCATGCCTCCAAGGACTTGTATCACTAAACCATTATTATCTTCCCTACCAAATACTTCTTAAAATATAAAAATATTTGTGCATATTTCTGAGACGAGGTATTATGTACTGTATTTACATTATTCGGACTATTGTTCTCATCTTTGTCGCCATATTTATTATAACGTTTCGGCCGTTGTACGCTCAGGCCTTCTTCAGGTGGTTAGAATGTCGAACTGAACCATTTATTTCGCTCACTGGGGTAGACTGTTCTAGTTCCATGTGCCATCTTTAATGGATGCCAGTTATCAGTTATCTCATGTTAATTTCCCTCTGAAAATTCTCCACTGCCTTAACCGGGTATTGAACTCACACTCTTTGGGTCCTGTCACTGGATCTAACTAACGCCTTTATCCACTGTGCAATGTGTTCTTGAGAACACATGGCACGTGGAACTAGAAAAGTCTACCCCAGTGAGCGAAATAAAGGGTTCAGTTCGACATTCCAACCACCTGAAGAAGTCTGGAGCGTACAATGGCCGAAACGTTGTAATAAATATGGCAACAAAGATGAGGACAATAGTCCGAATAATGTAAATAGTCTAAAAATATTTTCTGGCTTTAAATAACCTTCAAATGGTTGATATGCTGTAGAAAATCAATAAATCAATGTCCGAATGAAAATTCCTTCTTACCAATCGAATACGAAGGGAATGACGATGATTCAACAATGTGTATGTGGCAGGTTTTAACTGTAAATGTTTGACATTGTGTAACTGGGCTCGTCAAAACATTTTCCATGGAAATCGCGAGAGAGTAACGAGAGGCTTACATGTTTCGTCTGTGAGAAAGAATTTGTGCACTAGAAAATAATTCATCCCATCTTTTGTAACATTTTATGGCAATTGTTCTAATGAGATTTCATCTTTGGTACCTCAACCAAATGAATTTAAACGTATTCCTAGATTAGCAAGTAGCTTCTATCATGTTACTGTTGTAATATCTAAATAATCAAATACATCATGTTGTTGCTTATTGAAGTAGTAATTCAAATGGTCAACATTAGAATGGTGCAGTAATGGATAGCGGCTTGAATTGAAGAATCGGAGTTCCGAGTTCGAATTCCAGTCGAATCCATTACATTCACTTACGTGCTACCCTTGGGAAAGCTATGAATCCTTGTCAGCTATGGGTAAATAGCAGGATAGACTGGGTTCTATAGCCTTGAATGGCAACTGGTCTACCGTCGAAAAAAGTGGCAACCTACTGCAGGAAAAATCTGCCTAATCAGTCATGTATCGAAAGATATATGATCGCCTAAGCATGTATGACGAATGGCACATAACTGATTGACTGACAGTAGAATCAGTAATTTTATCTGTCCTGACCTGGCATCTCAGCTTCAGTTAGGTTCCCAACGCCGTAACGTAACATCCAGGTGCCTTTTCTATACATATTTCACGGTAGTTGTACTGATGAGGTTTAATCTTTCCTACTCCCAAGAGAATGTTTCCACGATCAATACAATCTTAACCTATTCAAGTCTATGTTTGACCGTTACCAAACCGTACAAACTGCCCCCTAAACTAACCATCTATATCGAATGACCTCCTGAACCTTTTACATGGTGAACCTCACCGTGAAAAAAAAAAAAAAAAAAAACGACCAAAAAAAATCACCTGGAAATAGAATTTTAATCGTAATACAAGATTCACAGTTAACTTTCCTTAATCAGTCAGAGTATTTACTTCTGGAATTGCTAGATGTTATTACTACATACAGTAGCGGCCATAATATATGCAACGGGAACAAAGACATAAATATGTGTATTACTTAAAAAGTAATGCATGGTTAGAATTAAATTTTTACCGAATAAAGATTAGAGTTTTGTAACTTTGTATAATATTTATGCATTACACCTTAATCTTTATTCGGTAAAATTTTCATTGCTAATCATGCATTACTTTTTAAGTAATACACATATTTATGTCTTTGTTGTTTCCGTTCCTTATATTATGGCCACTACTGTTTATTATAATAGATACTTTTTTCTCTCGCACTTTTTGCCTACCAAACTCTCTTTCAACTTTCTTGTCAACTATAATCCACGAAAGGTTAAAACGCAACGTCAATCAACATCTTCTGTCTCGTTGAATCCGGTTCTTCCTATTGGCCTATCGTAACGTTTTATTTTGTTTCTTTCAATCTATTATCTTTCATTCTCCGTAATATCCCTTGAGTCTTAGTGACCTTATCGCCTTGTTTGCGTTGAAATGATTTAAAAAATTGTCGGTTCTAATGTAAGTCTAACACTTCCTGTAGTTTATTGTAGTCGTGTCATGTAAGATCAGTGTTTTTTTCTTCCTTTGCTTTTGCTGGTAAGAAAAAATAAGCGGTAATAAAAAGTAATGATGTGAAGTTGTCAAAATTGTGCCTACTAATCAAGTTTATCCTCCAAGATCTGTCCGAGATATAAGTATAAAAGTTGATTAGAGGTCTATTCACAGAATATTGATATTAAGCGACTTTTACGTCAACTAAGTGTAGATAAAGTCGGGAATCATTGTTGTAAATGCAAAGCGACTGCATACCTATTATTATGCATTGTCTCCACCAAAAAAAAAAAAATCTTTAGAAAATATACTGCGTTATCTCCCGATGATCATAAGGTCAAGTCGTTGTAATTTTGTAATCACGCCCACTCACACATACAAACATAAAGCGAAAGACAGTCAGAACATGAAAACTGCATGGTGACTATTTGTTTAACACCTGAAGCGATTTTCAGACAAAATACTTTTGTGGTCTTTACATATAAGCCACTGTAAGATTAAGGAAAGTTGCGAATGAAAGAAAACTAGTTCTTCCCAATTCTTTTGCTTCGGGCTAATGCATTCGGTTATTTTCGGTTATTTTCGGTCATAAACTTTATTTCCGCCCTGGGTATGACGACAAAATTCATCCGGCAGCAAAACATGACATCGGTGGTGGTGGGGGGGTGAGGAATGTAAAACCACTTTTGAATTGCTGTTGATCCCAGATCCAACCTGATCCAAAACTAGGGTTAAAAAACATAAAATATAAAAATACGTGTTTACAGTAATAAATACCACTAAGAGATAATTTTTTAAAAATAAAAATTTACCTAAGCAAACAATAATATTAAATTTCGGTATCAAATGACCCATAAGGAGTTGATATGCCGTTAAACAAACAAAGAACCAAATAAATTTTATTTTGCTTATGTATTTAAATGTATTGATATATTTTCCCTAGGTTTCAAATTGTTCAAGGAAAGTCCAATAGATTTAGATTATTTTGTCCGTGTTGTGATTTCTGGTGGGGTTACCGGTGGCGTAGTAGGAATTTGTTCTCGTCTTTGCATTTTGCAATGAGCTCTGATCATTTGTTGAGAAGTTTATTTTCTGGAAAGACGATTATCGCAATTTTTTCCTCAAGGCAAAGGAATGGCAAGACTTGACCTAAAGATCGCTCGAGGAGTGAATCAGATAGACATCATGCAGTGTTGCGTCCTACGTCCATATTGTTGATATCAACTGCCCTATCTCGGATATTGAATACTCTTCGTACATAAATATAGAATTCTAAAAAAGTGATATATATATATATATATATATATATATATCTGTGTGTGTATATATATATAGATAGAGAGAGACAGCAAGTGAGAGTGATACAGTGAGAGATAGGGAGAGACGGTAGAGAGAGGGAACTGGGAGAGAGACAGAGAGAGAGACAGAGAGAGAGAGAGAGAGAGAGAGACTCACCAAAAGGATTAATAATAATTCTCCTCGTGCCTTCTCTTATAAAACGAATGACATTTTCTTAAATATATATTCTATAAAACATACACAGACACGCACGCAAGTCCACACATACATACACACATACACAAACATATTTATACATGCATTTCCTATTAATATATACGTCCTATGACTCGTGTTTCAGCAGACGTCTCCGTATTTTAAACGCTATATTTTCGCCGACTGGCCTGAGTTTTGAGATAGTCTTCAATAAAGAAAATGTTTAGAAAGTTCAGGCCGTTTAATCACACACACACACACACACACATATATATATATATATATACACTTTTTTCTTCTTAATCATATTTGCCTTATATATATATATATATATATACATATATGTCCGTGTATGTATGTATTTATGTATATTCTGTGTATTTAGGCAGCACTTTTTCTTTAAGGCAAATATGATTAAGAAGAAAAAAGTGTCGATTAATCTCAATGATCGACTTTACAAATTAGGAACATTCCTTCTCAGACAAGGAGGAAATTCCGTCTGGAATTTTCTGAAGTTCATTTCGAAAGAATAATAAAATGAAAGTGTGGTCCAATCTTTCCATTTTA